TCTGCTTCTCCCTCTGACCCTCCTCCCTCTCATGCTCTCTGTCTCTCATTCTCTCTCTTGCAAATAAATAAAATCTTAAAAAAAAAAAAAAAAAAGAAATAACATGGGACTGATGGAAATCAGGGGTGGGGAAAGACGGATTATGTCAAGTTATTGGAAATGGATTTCCTTTTTTGTCATGACATAAACAACCCAGAATGAGAGCCAATGTAGAAGAAAATCTGTACAGATGACCCATGTGGGGTCCAGAAAGGGGCTGGGGCCTGACGGTGAGGCCTAGGTTATTCACCAATACAAAGTCGTATCTTCTTTGCTGGGGACTCCAAAGCTGCTCTTGGAAGCCCTGGCTTTCCTTACATGAATGAAGACTGTAAGGAAGGTAGTACTTGTACCCAGAACTGGCTGGGTTGGGCAGAACCTCATCCTTGGGGCCCCTAAAAACCAGGCAGGAGTTAAGTCTTGATGTACTGAAAACAGAGAGCTGCTGAAAGTTTCAGAGAAAAGAAAAAAAAAGGATGAAGGAAAAAGGAGAACTTCAGGGAGATCATTTTGACAAACTTATAAGCAATGGACTGGGTGTGGGGTAGGGTACAGGTACAATCTTGAGGCCAGGAAGGCAGTCAGCAAGGAGGTTACTCAGAAATGCGGCTCAACAGGCTGGGAGAGGGAGATGGAGACGGAAATGAAATAGAACCAAAATGCAAGTCAAATGAAGAATGCACAGCTCTTAGCAACCAATTGCAAAGAACTAAGGAAAAGGTTAAATAAGACCATGGTGACTGACACATGTGGGAAGCAGGAAGGGCCAGGTGATTCTACATGTTGAATTTGAAGGGGGAGGAAGACATCCAAATGGAAATATGAATGGACAGGAAATGAAAATCTGAGACAGGCGATGAAGTGATACAAACAGGACAGGAAAGATAATCCAGGGAAACATTAGCATAGACAAGAAATTTCATTTTATGAACAAAGATTTAGAAATAAGCATCTGCTTTGTTTTAGGACGTTTTTAAATAAAGAGAACTGTGCTGAGGTGATTAAGAAACTCTATGCTAATGTTGTATTTCATGAATCACCTCCCAAAATAAAACAACAAAAGATTTTTGCATCTGAAAATTATGCTGATTCTGATGACAAAATTATTTGCTTTCTCATGAAAGTAGCAGACATGAAAGGTAAAAAAATGCTTTTTAATGATGTTTGCTTACAATTGATCATTAAAATACAATTTGTTAGCTTACTTAAGAACGAATACACTTCTCTCTTTGGTCTTAAAGTTTACAAATTCTGTAAAAGCATATGGATCTCATTATCATATGAAAATCTGCCAAAGGGACTTAAATCCTGGTGAATGAAGACTTGAGAAGAAATGGTGGCTATATTCAAATACATACAGGACTTTCATGTGGCAATTTTACTTAGAGGTAAAACTGGAAACAACAGAGATCACAGGGATGTGAGTTCTAATTCATAACACTCAAAGCTATCCAGAGATGGAATGTATGAATGTACTTAAACACGCCAGTCAGGAAGGTCTGCAGAAAGGACTCAAGCACGGATGAGTAGATGGACTAGACGGACTTATAAGGTGCCTTCCAACCTTAAGAGTCTAGAACATTCTAATGTCTGAGAGCTTATGTGATGAGTTAGCCGTGTGAGTCCTTAAAATCAAAATGCCCTTGGCAATCCCACACAGAGCTCAACTTAAGAGCCTCTGAACATTCAGCTTCTAGAAGAGGGATCAAAGATCTCACTCTGCTATCAAGTGTTAGCTGAACCAACAAATATTCAAATTGTTAATTTTCCCCAAGTAAAGGATAGTTTGGTATACACACCAAATTTTGTTGTATGCTTCTAGGCATTCCGGTTTAACATTGTGAACTGAAACAAAAGAAAATTCAACGATAAACTTATGAACAAAGGGAAAAAAGTCAACTATGAAGAGAGCAAACCTATCACTCACACTGCAATTTGTATAGACTGCTTGTTTCCTTTTTGGCTAGGAGATTAGAGTGAGCATCTTTTCTTGGATCAACTTTCCGGACAAATAAGGATTTTAACCAGCTGTCTTCTCGCGGTCTATTATTGGAGGACGTCAATCTCCTATGAATAACAAATATAAAAATTTGAGTCTTGTTAGCAGTATGAAGATTTCAGCATCTTTAGATAATGTCACATAGTACATTGTTTTCATAAAATCAATCCACTCAGCAAACATGCCTTGAGCACCTATTCTAGGCACTGTTACAGAACCTGGGATACCACAAAGTGTCCACTCTCCATTAGGAGCAAAGTGTAAGAGATGTAACTTGTGGTTCTCCTAAGAGAGTTCTTATTTTTTTTTTTAAGTTATAAGTATAGTTGGCATACAATGTTATATGAGTTTCAGGCATACAACATATTGATTCAACAATTCTATACATTAAGCTATGTAAGTGCAGTTACCATCTGTCATCATTCAGCATTACTACAGTATTATTGACTACATTCCCCATGTTGTACTTTTCATCCCTGTGACTTATTTTGTAACTGAAAGTTCGTACCTCTTTTTTTTTTTTTTAAGATTTTATTCATTTATTTGAGAGAGAGAGAGACTGAGTGTGGAGAGAGGGGCAAAGGGAGAGAGAGAATCCCAAGCAGGCTCTGTGCTGAGTGCAGAGCCCAACATGGGGCTAGATCTCATGACCCTGAGATCATGACTTGAGCCAAAATCGGTCGCTTAACCAACTGAGCCACTCAGGTGCCCCTGGAAGTTTGTACCTCTTAATTCCCTTCACCTATTTTGCCCATCCCCCCTCCACCCACATCCTCTCTGGTAATTACCAGTTTGTTCTCTATAGTTAAGAGTTTGTTTCTTTGTTCATTTGTTTTGTTTTTTAGATTCCACATATAAGTGAAATTGTATGGTATTTGTCTTTCTCTGACTGACTTATTTTACTTTGCACAATACCCTTCAGTTCCACCATGTTGTCACATGATCTCATTCTTTTTTTATGGCTGAATAACATTCCATTGTGTATATATACGTATATCTATACATTTCATATCTTCTTTATCCATTCATCTATTGATAAACATTTGGGTTGCTTCCATATCTTGGCTATGGTAAATAATGCTGCAATAAACATATGGGTGCATATATCTTCTTAAATTAGTGTTTTCATTTTCTTCGGTTAAATACCCAGTAGCGGAATTACTAGACTGTATGGTATTTTTCTTTTTCCCTATGTTTCTTATGCTGTACCCTTCATCCTTGTGATGTATTCATTCCATAACTGCAAGCCTTAAACCTCCTACTCCCCTTGGCATTTCTATTTTTAATTTTTTGAGGACCCTCCATATTGCTTTTCACAATGGCTGAATCAATTTATATTCCCACCATCAGCGCATGAGGATTCCCTTTTCTCCACATCCTTGCCAACACTTGTTATGTCTTAACTTTTTGATACTAGACATTTTGACAGGTGTTAAGGTGATATCTCATTGTGGTTTTGATTTGCATTTCCCTGATGATTAGTGAGGTTGAACATCTTTTCACAGAGAGTTCATATTTATCTTTGCCATTTCTGCTATGTGTTTTTCCCTCCTCCAAAGCAATTTCTGACATAGAAAAAATATATATGGTAACCTAGAATAGTCAGTTTCATAGAGAAAGAAAGTAGAGTGGTTGCTAGAAGATAAGGCGAGAGGAGAATGGGGAGTTATTGTTTAACTGGCACAGAGTTTGGGAAGATGAAAAAGTTCTGGGGATAGATGGTGGTAATAGTTGCAGAACAGTGTGAATTTACTTAATGTTACTACTGAACTGTACACAAATATGATTAAAATGGCAAGTTTTATGTTATAAATACTCTACCACAGTAAATAAGTGTGAAAATATACAGGGAAAATGAAATAAATTCTTTCTTTGTTTTGTTTTGTTTTTTTTTTAAGATTTTATTTATTTGACAGAGAGAGCACAAGCAGAGGGAAAGAGAGAGGGAGAGAGAGAAGCAGGCTCCCTACTGAGCAAGGAGCCCGATGTGGGACTCGATCCCAGGACCCTGGGATCATGACCTGAGCCGAAGGCAGCCGCTTAACCGACTGAGCCACCCAGGCGTCCCGAAATAAATTCTTTCTTTAAAAAAAATTGTATCAGGGCGCCTGGGCGGCTCAGTTGGTTAAGCGTCTGCCTTCGGTTCAAGTCATGATCTCAGGGTCCTGGGATCGAGCCCCGCATCAGGCTCCCTGCTCGGTGGACAGTCTGCTTCTCTCTCTCCCTCTGCTGCTCCCTCTGCTTGTGCTCTCTCTCTCAAATAAATAAATACATTTTAAAAAAAACCCAAATTTAAGAATACAAATTTCATTGACACATTTTTTTTTAAAGATTTTATTTATTTATTCGACAGAGAGAGAAAGAGACAGTCAGAGAGGGAACACGAGCAGGGGGAGTGGGAGAGGGAGAAGCGGGCTTCCCGCTGAGCAGGGAGCCCAACGCAGGGCTCGATCCCAGGACCCTGGGATCATGACCTGAGCCAAAGGCAGATGCTTAATGACTGAGCCACCCAGGTGCCCCCGACACACAATTTTCATTTTCATTTTATAATTTCTACTATACAGACTGTTAGAAAGCAAGGATAGGGGCGCCTGGGTGGCTCAGTCGTTAAGCGTCTGCCTTCAGCTCAGGTCATGATCCCAGCGTCCTGGGATCGAGCCCCGCATCAGGCTCTCTGCTCGGCGGGAAGCCTGCTTCTCCCTCTCCCACTCCCCCTGCTTGTGTTCCCTCTTTCGCTGTGTTTCTCTCTGTCAAATAAATAAAATCTTTAAAAAAAAAAAAAAAGCAAGGATAAATTTGACTGAACTATATATATATATATATATAACAAACTGTATTTTAACTATGAACTTTTAAGTGCACGTTTAAGTTCCATTCGCTTGCTAGTCAGATTCCAAATCTCCCTACAGGGCAGTGTAGCATTATCGGCATCAAAATTAAATCTGTGTAAGCCTTTCAGCCCAATAATTGTACTAGTAATTTTGTCTTACAGGCAGCATTATTCAGACAAGTGCACAAAGCTGAATGCACAAGAAATTTTATTAGCGCCTTGTTTCCAAGTTTATACATTATGCTATTTCACCAAGTGTAGCTACCAGATATGTGCATATATGTTACATCACTCTTATGGTACCACTGACTATATTCTTTATGCTTTGCCTTTACTTTTGTGTGTGTATATATATAATTTTAAAGATTTTATTTATTTACTTGACAGAGAGACACAGTGAGAGAGGGAACACAAGCAGGGGGGAGTGGGAGAGGGAGAAGCAGGCTTCCCGCCGAACAGGGAGCCCGATGCGGGGCCCGATCCCAGGACCGTAGGATCATGACCTGAGCCGAAGGCAGACACTTAACGACTGAGCCACCCAGGCGTCCCAAAGATTTTATTTATTTATTTATTTGAGAGAGATAGCATGAGCACAAGTCGTGGGAGAGAATCAGAGGGAGAGGGAGAAGCAGGCCTCCCGCTGAGCAGGGAGCCCAATGCGGGGCTCGATCCCAGAACCCTGGGATCATGACCTGAGCTGAAGGCAGCCGCTTAACGACTGAGTCACCCAGGAGCCCCTATTTTGTATATTTTTAAGTACATAGTTAGCCCCATAGTAAAATCGCTTAAAGCACTTAGGACAGCACCTGACATATGGTAAAAGTTTAAAAAATTAAGTTTTTAAAACTACTTTTTCAATAAAAACTTTTAAAATTAAAAGAATAAATTATACATAAAATTATTAGCCTTTTAGCAAAACCCAAAACCATATGGTGTTTGTTTCTGTTTTCAATTTATTCTGATTATATAAATAAATTAATTCTGAAGGGGGCAATTCTCCAAATGACCACAGTAAAATTTATGTCAATAAAAACATTTTGTCAATTTGTTTAAGTGTTTTAAACATACCACGTTTTGGAATATTTGCTTAATAACATCGTGAAGCACAATGGCAAGCATATAAAATTAGTGATATACAAAGTAGAAAGTTTTAAGATTTTTTAATAAGACTATATAATTCCTGTTTTTTATTTTAGGTTTTAAGTTCACTAGACAGAAACTGTGTTTAAAAATTTGGGGGGTGGTTAAATAAATTGTAAGAGCTTAGAAATAACTATTATGAATAATTAAGAAAGGGGTACAATGAAAGTTTCTAAAAATATCAGCATTAGGGAATTTCATTTAAAATAACAAATATTCACCAAAGCAACCACTACTAACAGTTTTTAATTCCAGAAATGCAGACATGCATCATCATGTGTACATACAGATATTTAATTTCTACATTTAATACTTTATAAACTGAGAACATTTATTAGCACCTCGTTTCCAGTTTTTTCCTAGTATAGGCAATTTAGATAACCATTAACAGGGACTGGTCAAATAAATTTGGAATATCCAAAATCGGAATAGAATGCCACCATTAAAAAGAATGAAGTAGATCTACATGCACTGATATGTTGATATTTCTGAAAATAAATTATGTGGAAAAAGCAGGTACAGAACTGTACCATAAATACACAAAGTAAACTGTTAATAGTAGTGATATCTGGGGAATGTGACTGGGCGTGGGGTGGAAGTAGAGTTTTTCCTTTTTACTGTATAGCCTTCTGGACTATTTGACAAATTTTCCATATACACACATTATTATTATACTTAAAATTAGCTATAAAAGTGCACATCAGTAGTCTTTATAACATCATACATATGCTGAGTGGCACTTTACAGAGGGTGGGGTGGGGGGCAGTACAGTCTACAAAACATTAGACTTTATTTTTATTGTGTTTTCCCAAAGATTTTATTTTTAAGTAATCTCTACACCCAACGTGGGGGCTGGAGAGATCAGGAGTTGCATGCTCTACCAACTGAGCCAGCCAGGCACCCCACAGAATATTAGACTTTAAATAGAATAAGCATTATGTGCCATGGAGCGCCTGGGTGGTGCAGGCGGTTAAGTGTCCGACTCTTGGCTTTGGCTCAGGTCATGATCGCAGGTGAGACTGAGCCCCGCGGTGGGCTCCAATCAGTGCAGAGCCTGCTTGAGACTCTCCCTCTCCCCGCTGCATGCTTTCTCTCTAAATTAAATAAATAAATCTTAAGAAAAAAATAAGCATTATATGCCAGGCGCTGTGGATATAAAGGTGAACCAGATGCTTCGCCTATTCAGTCTCATAGGAAAAACACAGTAAACATCGAGTGGTCTCGGATACTATAGACTTACACACACACACACACGCACGCACGCACACACACACGCACACTGTGGGAGGTCAAGGGAATGAACCACTGGCTTGGCCTGTGAGGAGAGGAACTCCAGCTGACCTTCTGGCTCTGTCTTGGAAGACAACACAGACTGGTGGACAAGGCAGGCGATAATCCCAGTCAAAAGGAACAACATGTCCAGGGGCATGGAGTCGTGAAGCTGTATGGCGTATTTCTGAGCAGCAAAGAGTTCAGTAAGGCAGGAGAACAGTGTGTGGGACGATGGTGAGGGAACGAATGGGAAGACAAGGAGGGCAGAGTGGTTAGGTTAGGCTCGCGCACCGTGCCCACCAGCCAGATTTTATCCTGTCTGTGAAAAGCAGCCTGGCGGTGGTGTGGTGGGTGGACGACGACAACAAAGGCAGGGAGCATGGTTCCTGGGCTTCCTGCTGGCTGCCGCATTCACTACTCACCGGATGGACCGACGGACAGTCCTGGGTTACGAGTATGGTGGTAGCAATGAAAGGGAAGGCATACCTTCAAAAGATATTCCTGAGGTGAAAAGCAGAAGACACGGGTCCTGACTAGGTGTCTAGACAGTGCTGTGATTCAGCTGGAGCAAACCACAGATGGGAAATACATTTAACACTGAGACCACAGGATGAGGCAGCAGTGGTGAAATGGATTTCATTCATTTGAGCACCAAATAGCTATTGATTGTGCATCGCACGTGCCAAGCACTGGGCCAGGCTGAGGCTATAAAGATGAGTACACCCGGCCCTGACTTCACAGAGCTGTCTGCTGGTGGGAGCGGACGGACAACCATGATCACAGCCCAACGGGAGATAAGTCCTCGATGGACACATGAGGTAGTGGTCGTGACAGCGGTGGGGGCAGAGGAAATGGAGTCTAAGTTGGCCTGGGGGAGACATGAACCAATTCTCTGAAGAAGCACTTGTTGAACTGAAGACTTGAAAGATGAGGAACACTTGTCAGGTAGATGCCCAGGAGAGGAAGCAGAACCATACCCGCCAAAGCCAAGAGTATGTGAATACAGAAGGAGACGAGCGGGAGAGAGGAGGCTGAAGGGCCTGATCCAAAGAGTCTTGCATGAAAGCAGTCACTAGGTGACTCCCCTTCTCACCACCAAACCCCCTGTCACCGCAACAAACCTGTCTTCCACACTGCTGCTACAGAGAGCTATCTCCTAACTTTTCATTTTTAAAAACTACACAGAGGAGCACCTGGGTGGCTCAGTCGTTAAGCATCTGCCTTTGGCTCAGGTCATGATCCCAGGGTCCTGGGATCGAGCCCTGCATAGGGCTCCCTGCTCCATGGGGGGTCTGCTTCTCCCTCTGCCCCTCCCCAAATCTTGTGTGCCTCACACTCTCTCTCTCTCAAATAAATAAATAAAATCTTTAAATAAAAACTGCAAAGAGATGAAGGAACAGTATAATGAAGACCTCTATACCCTGCATGTAGGTGAAAAATGAACACTTTATCATTTTAAATCTTTCTATATATATTTGCTTTTTTATTTTTACCAAACCGTTTGAAAGCAGAGCACAGACCCTATGATACTTTATCCCTAAATGCTTCAGTATGCACCTCCTAAGAACAAAGAGAAAACCATGATATGATTTTCACATCCGAGGAAAAGAATAATTCTATCTAATATACATTTCATATATTAAACTGTCCCCAGGGATGCCTGGGTGGCTCAGTTGGTTAAGCGTCTGCCTTTGGCTCAGGTCGTGATCCTGGGGCCCTGGGATAGAGCCTGCTGATCAGGGAGCCTGCATCTCCCCCTCCCTGCCACTCCCCCTGCTTGTGCTCTCACTCTCCCTCTGTCAAATAAATAAAATCTTAAAAAAAAAAAAATTGAAACAAAAAACTGTCCCGTTGTTCCCAAAATGTCTTTTATAGTTTTCTTGGCAAGGGTAGGGTGGGGTGGGATGGGAAAGAAAAGGGATTAGCATCCAGTCCAAGTTCACGTCATAGAGATCTTTCTAATAGAAAAAGTTCTGCTCAGAATTCTTTAGTTGTCCCCTTCACCAACAGGTTCAAGTCCTTACTCTTCAGAGGACTCCAGACAAGTGTTGCCAAGAGTTGAGGTAGGGGAATGGTGAGAGAGAAGGTAGAGTCAAGATGTGCTGGAGGTAGAACTGACAGATCTGGCAGCTGGCTAGCTGGGAGAGAGCAAGACGGGGTGGGTTTGGGGCCACTAAACGGAAGATGTACCATTTCTGGGGAGAGAACCCGGGAGGGACAAGCAGGTTCTGTAGGAGGAAGATGAGTTAAATTCTGGGTACAAAGGCATCTCAAGGACCAGTAGGACACTAGAGCAATGTCCACTAAGCAACTGGAACTCCAGGCCTGGCACTGAGCAGAGCTAAGAGGTGCTGGCAAATAAGTCTCCTGGGAAGGCTTCCTCCTTCCCCTCTGAAATCCCTCTCACAAGGTCACTCAGACTCCTGTTGGCAAATCCAGTTTTCTGTCACCTTAACTTTTTAGCAGCATCTGGCACAGTTGACCACCACCTCCTTGAAATACCTCCCCTTGGGCACTGCCACAAACAGTGAGTGACCTCGCTGGCTCCTCCTTCCCAGTCTCCCTTGCTGCCTCTCCTTCCTACATCTAGCCTGTGAATGAATGTTCCTTCCTTCCTTCCTTCTTCCCTCCCTCCCTTCTTTTATTTTTTTAATTTAAATTCAAGCTAGTTAACATATAGTGTAGTATTGGTTTCAGGAGCAGAATTTTTTGATTCATCACTTACATGTAACACCCGGTGCTCATCCCAACAAGTGCCCTCCTTAATGTCTATCAACCATCTAGCCCACCCCCCAGCCCTGTTTGTTCTCCATATTTGATTCTCTTATGGTTTGCCTCTGTTTTTATCTCATTTTATTTTTCCTTCCCTTCCCCTATGTTCATCTGTTGTGTGTCTTAAATTCCACATATGAGTGAAATTATATATGTCTTTCTCTGACTGACTTAATTTGCTTAGCATAACACCCTCTAGTTCTATCCACGTTGTTGCAAATGGCAAGATTTTATTCTTTTTGAAGCCTGAGTAATATTCCACTGTGTGTCTGTCTATTTATCTATCTATCTATCTATCTATCTATCTATCTATCCATCTTCTTTATCCATTCATCAGTTGATGGACACTTGGGTTCTTTCCATAATTTGGCTAGCCTGTGAATGTTGACACACCTCAGGGCCTGTTTCTTAGCCCCTTCTCTATCCACACTCTTCAAGCAATCTCCTCCATTCCTATGGTTTTAAAAAATGTTTTATTAAGAAAAATTTCAATTAAATGCAATACAGTATAATGAAACCCACGGATCTATCAACATTTGGCATTCCTATATACCAACAACTCCCAAATGTAACCTGTAGTCCAGACATCTCCTTTGAGGGTCAAATAGATCAAACAGGCCAAATGCCTTTCCATGTGAATAGCTCACAGCCATCTCAAACTTTACCAGGTTCAAAAGTGCTCTGGATTCCCCTCTCCCCACACTGTATCTGTTCTTCCTCCTCCCAATTAGGAGCAAGCTCCCAGATGGCAACAACTTTATGCACGGATATTTCCCAACAGCGCCTGGCACATGGTGGGAACTCATATGCCTGTGGAACCAGTGACTTTCAGTAAATGGCACCAGCATCTGCCCATTTGGTCATTACCCTTGATTCTGTCTCCTTTCCAAAATCAGACTGATATGTTAAAAACATAGATCAGATCATGTCACACTAGAATGTATACCCTTAAATGTCTTCCACGGCTCTTGGTATAAAATCCAAACTCTCTAAAATGGCTTGCAAGGCCTGGAATCACAGGGCTCGTGCTCCCTTCCACCTGTCTTCCGGCCCGTCTTCCCTTCACTCCTATGTTCCATCTTCCTAGGCTTTTCTGGAGTTTCCTGGTATGCCTTACTCCTTCCCAGTCAGGGCTTTCCTGCACACTGACCCTTCAGGTCTCAGCTTAATGGCACCTTCCTGGAGAGGCCTTCCATGATCTCACGGGGTAGGCTCCCTGATCTTCTCTCACACCACCTACTTCAGTCTTTAAGTCTATATGAATTTTTACCGTTGCCATGGCTTCCTGGGGAGAGTGACCATGGCTATTATGCTGAGTTCCACAAGGCTTCAAAGACATCGTATACATTCAAAATTTGTAGAATCAGTGAATTAATTGGGTCTAGATTGAGTCCCAAAAAACTCCTACAGTTAAGACAGTCAAAAGATACAGGGGGCCTGAGAGAGTAATCCAAGAGCCAACAGGCTGGGCTTCAGTTTCAAGAGCATTTGGCCCCAGCAGGAAGTGGGGGCACTGGGCAGACCCAGGTCCAAATCTCCAATTTACTAGCTTTGTGACTTTGGGCACTTTAGGTGAATATGTTGGGTGAACACCTTCAGCCTCAGCTGTCTTTTTGGAAAGAAGAAAATATGAATTTCAGTTTCTTAATCCTGTGTGGGAAAAAACAAGACACAGTGGATGCTCAATAACAGAATAAAAATAAGAGGTTGACTTGTTAATCAACTTGGAAACATAAACATCAAATTTGGAAATACAAGTTGGGCATCGGTCCTAGGAAAGGTGCTGGGCCTGATAAACTTGAGTTCAAATGCCTTTTCTAGCTAGCTGTCTCACCCTCTTTGAGGTTCCATCTCATTTGTAAAATGCAGATCCTGTTACTTAAGATTGCTTCTAGGATTAGATTAAATAAATTCTCTGGCTCATAGAGAGTTTAACAAACAGGCAGTCCCTTTACTCTTTCGTTAAGTGACAACTGAATTTTCTAAAGGCTCATTATTTAACTACAAACAGATAACGTTTAAATTATCCAATGTAAAGAAAACAAGAAAGCCAAAAATCTGCGTGTAAGTCAGTATGAGGTGGGTTTTTGAACATGGAAAACAAGAACGGATGTCAAGGGGATGAATTAAACCGAATATTTGATCCAATGCGTTTTGAAGAAGTTTAAACTTGAACCCAATGTTGATAACTTGTAAGTACTTTTTGACCCGTTACCTACTTTTCAATGCAAGTCGGACTGTTCGCAGTGCTGAGACTTCCCCACTACTCCCTTGCGTCTCCCTGAGGGCTCACCCCGGATGAGTTATTTTATTTCTTCCTCACCACCTCGGAGGTTAAGTAGTATCTCTACTGCCATCTGCGGATGCAGACGTCGTGGCTTCGCGCGGAGGCGCAGCCTTCTCCGGGCACCCGCGACAAGCCGGAGGCCGAGGCCAGGGCCTGGGGCCTCAGCCGCGCGCGCGCCCTCGGCCACCGCTCGGGTGGCGCCGGGTCAAGGTC